CAACTGGAGCATAAGATAAGATTGGAGGACAGTAGAGAGGGTCGATCAGCAGGCTTAAAAGCCTACCAGGGGCCGTCAAAAAGGACTTTATATGCCAAGCTTATAAGTTAACAGTTGGGGGGGCACTGTTGGAGTATATTTAGTCACGAGAGCAATCACTTTGACAGCACTGTGGACAGTGAATTAGAGTAGCCAAGCAACTAGGTGAATTCATTTCAAAAATCTGTACCAGTTACATTGCTGGACTCCCACATGGCTGACCATGGTTCAAGTCCTGGACCTAGTGGCTTGAAACTCATGCCAGGCACATGTGTGTGCATGCCCAAGATCCCAGAAAGAGAATGGAGGAGAAGGGATTGTGGCATGGCCATCCCCCAGAGAGTGATTTCTCACTTTCCCTCTCACTGTCTCTGTTTCTCTCTCTCTCTCCCACCTTCTCTCCTCAGTGAGCACACATGTCCTAAGGCAAAAACCACTAAAAAAATAAATAAATAAAAGTAAATCTAAGTTAGAGATGAGGACACTGGTGGTAGAGATGAAGTAGAGTAGATGGATTGGAGAGGAAAGGAAGTAGAATCAATCTATCAACAGATGAATGTGAGATTAAGAGAGGGTAGGTGATGATTGAAGTGATGAATAAAACAATGACCTTACCTACTCCAACCTGACAGTTATCAGTATATACAAAAATAACTATAATACAATAAAACCAGTTAATGTTCCTTACTAAACAGAAGTTTGTCTACTTTACAAGACTCTTAGAAGCAATTATTGTGGATAAACAGACTGGTAATTGATCCCTGGCAAAGGAATAAATCAAGATGAGGGTTAAGTACTGAATACCCCAGCATATCACACTTTCAGGCTCTCAAAAACAGAACCAAAAAAAGTTAAAAGAAATCAGCACTGGATGTATAGAAATTGTTCACATAAAATACTTTTTCCTCTAGCTCAATCTTTATAGCTGTTGTATAACAGCCCAACTTTAGCTGTCATATCACTGCCTCTAAAAAATGTCTCTTCCATTTCCTGGCAGAGCTTAGCTAGTGATGTCTATTATCTGGTAGAAATTGTAGTTAAATGTATTAGGTCATTGGGAAAATCATGATGTATTTTTCCATGTTTTTCATTGCAAAAATGCATCATGACTTTCCCAACAACCCAATATTTACCCAGTACTTTAGTCTCACATGCTTCTCCCACTGTGCAGATAGCTCCACACATGGAAGTTTGGCTCCCAGAAGACTGCAGCTATTCATGGCCTGTGTATATGTCATTTCACACAAACATTTTGCATAAATATTTTGGCTTACTAAGTGTCACTGTAACATGAATTGGGTTATTTTCTACATTAATAAGTGATGCATAGCCTTAAAAACTTCCTCATGACCATTCTAATTGAATCTGGCCAGTATTCTCAAACAATATCTCAACATTTCCATGGAAGGTACTAGCAAGTGATATCAACCCATTTTTGCAGATAAGAAAATTGAAACAGTAGCTTAGGTGTATCACGTCAAGTTTCCATGTCCAAAAATTTTCCCTATATATGCTGTTTCCAAAAGAATATGGCTCAAAACTTAAAAATCATCTTCCTATGTCAGATAACACGTTTATGTTATCCCTTAGTGATAGAGGCAGTTCCAGAAAGAGGTGGAAGGCATCCAAAACACAATATTATAATCTTAGGAAAATGAGATAAAGGTCTGGGAAATAGCCTCAGATCTTCTGAACAATATCAGCCTCCCCTAATTGGAATGAATTCAGCAAGCTAATAATCATTAGGTTTATTAATATTTACTTAAATACAAAGCAAAATATGAAACAGTTCATTTCTTGGTTGGATAAGCGGCAGAAAAACAGTATTTGTTTTATTATAGCTTCATGCCAGTAGTAACCAGAAGAAACTCCTAAATTGCTTTCTACCTTCTTTAATCAAAGAGCTAATTTCTTTATGTTTACCATGTATTAAACATCCTAAGTAATTTATTCATGTTAGAAATTTAAAAATAAGTTATTATTTTTAACATTAGAACCCATAATTTCAGTTCATTGTGCAATTTAAATTTTTAAATCCTACTTTTCTTTCCTACACTGTCCTAAAAGTTTACAAATGCAGAACTTATAAATGCTATAGATGCAGAATTATATGTAGAGCAAGTTCAGGATTCCTAAATTCTTAAAAAATGAATTCTTATTTTTTTGAGAGAGGTTTTTGCTATAGGGCACATGTGCTCACTGGAAAGACAGAGACAGAAAGTGAGAAATCACCCCCAGGGGGTGGTCAGGCTACAATCCCTTCCCCTCCATTCTCCTCTCAGGATCTTGGAAATGTGTGCACACACACCTGGCATGATTTTAAGCTACCAGGTCCATGACTCAAACCACAGTTGACTACATGGGAGTCCAGCGATGTAACCATTACTCCATCTGCTGGTCCCTGGAAAAATGAATTCTAAAAGCGCTTTATATGGAAAAATATCAAGTGTGATTATTTATTTTTTCCAATCCATCTTGTGCTATTCTTCCCCTCTACATAGTTTGCTCATTAGCATCTTTTCCATAATATGCTGTCATGTATATTATTTTATAACTTCTAAGGACATGGATCTGCTGACTTATGACTATAGCTTCTTGGTAAACAAACACCAATATTTAGCCATTTTTGAGTGTTATTATCTTGAGGTAAAACCTTTAAATGCCACTATCTACCCCTATACTTTTCAACTTTAAAAAAAGAGTTGTCATGGTGATTAAGGGCTCTAGACTCCCACATAGCCAACCTTGGTTTGAATCCTGGTCCTGGCAGCTTGCTTTCTCACTTTCTGTCTTTGTCTCTCTTGCTCACTCTGTCCTCCATCTCTGGTCAAATACACACACACACACACACACACACACCATACACACACACACACACACATATGTGTGTGTATGTTGTGTGTGTATAAAAATATATATACATTTAAATAAAATAATTATTTTTTTTAAAGTTTTGGGGGGCCAGCAGATGGATCCAGTCCCAGACCTGGCAGATTGAAACTTACACTGGGCACTGTGCATGCATGCCCAAAATCCCTGGAGGAGAATGAAGAAGGGCTTGCAGCATTGGCCATCTCCCCTGGGTGGCGATTTCTTACTTTCTGTCTCTCTGGCAAGCACACTGACCCTATATCAAAAATCTATTTTTAAAAAATGTAGTTGTGTCAACAGGGGAGGTGGTAATTAAGCCATTGGACTCCCACATGGGTGACCATGGTTCAAGTCCCAGATACGGTGGTTTGAAAATCATGCCAGGTATGTGTGCTTACATGTCCAAAATCTTAAGAGAATGGAAGAGAAGGGATTGTAGTATGTCCATCCCCCAAGGAGTGATTTCTCACTTTTCCTCTCACTGTCTGTCTGTCTGTCTCTCTCTCTCCAGAAAGTGCACATGCTCTATGGCAAAAACCTGAAAAAAAAAAAAAAAGATAAAAAAGAAGCAGAGAGTATTGTCTTTGTTCTTAAAAATATATAGTTATCCTTTTAACAAAAGTAATTAAAATTTTTTTCCGTCAGTTTTTTCCAGAAATAAGCCCTTCTGATAAATTCTTTTCTATAATGCCTAAGTCCTGACTGAGTCAGGGAAGGTTTGGGATGAACCTGTAGCATCTTGTGCAAGAAAGTAAAGAAATTGGGATTATTTGACTGGGAAAATAACTAAATATAGTAATTGATTGAAAAATCTTTGAAAAAACAGGAGCCTGTGAGTTCATACTCATAATAAATGGGTGGATGGATGAATGGGTAGACAGATGGTTAGATAGATGGAGAAGAAAGGAAGACTCTTCCTTATGGTAAAATGCTGACTGATAAATGTGAATAGAATTGTGAAGTTGAGAGACCAGCAGCTGGTGTAATGATTGTGTCGGTGGACTCCCATGTAGTCGACCATGGTTCAAGTCCTGGACCCAGTAGCTTAATCTCATGCCGGTGCGTGTGTGTGCATGCCCAAGATCCTGAGAGGAGAATAGAGGAGAAGGGATTGTGGTGTGGCCATCTCCCCTGGGAGTGCTGATTTCTCACTTTCTGTCTCTTTGGCTCTCTCTGTCTTTCTGGCAAACGCACACGCCCTATAGCGAAAACCTCTCCAAAAAGAAAAGAATTGTGAAGTTGAGAATCTTCATTTTACACCTGTTTTAATAAAAATAGGCTTAGATAAAAATTATTAGTCAATGCTAGGGGAGGAAGTCTTGACGGGGCAGGATGTTTCCGTAGTCTAAACTGTCTTTCCATATATTGCTTCCTGAGCTACAAGAGGGAGAATAGTAACTATTAAAAAAAGAAAAATAGGAAAACCGATAAGGGCTAAAGAAGGCCTCTAGTTACCGTGACAAGCATTTAGCATCATTTACATTATATTCATATGTAAGTGAGATGCATGACCTGGACTAAATCATAAGGAAACATCAGACCAAATTGAAATGGACATTCTACATAAAAAGTGGCCTGGATTCTTTAAGTCACAGAATATCAGTATCCAAAAGATGGGGAAAGGAAGGTTGAGGAACTATTCCGGATGAAAGGGAACTAGAGAGACATGATACTAAATGTAATGTGTAACACAGGAGTATCCTGAAAGAGAAGTGGGAAAAAATGCTAAAAAAGAAATAACAGGAAAATTGCCAAAATTAGAATATGGATGGTAGATGAGGTTAACAGCATTGTATCGATCTTAATTTGGTAACTACACTGGCTATATATATCAGGGGCTATTTAGGTCTTAGGAAATACACAATGCAGTATTAAAGAACAGGGCATAAGATCTGCAGTCTAGTCTCAGGTGATTCAAGAAAGCAGTAGTGTGTATGTGAAGAAAGAATACAGTAACAAATGTAGCACAGCATTAACAGTTGGTGAATGTAAGTAGACTACATGAGAGTTTTCTATGTGAGACTTACAACTTTTCTGAAAACTTGAAATAATTTTTAAATAAAAATAAAATTCTATTCAATATTTTCTAGCCCTTTCTAAGGCACAAAATGATGTGATGACAATGAAGATACAGTCAGAGAGACTTTCAGAAGAGTATGATCAACTCCTGAGAGAACACTCTCAACTTCAGGTGGGTAACATGCACCTTATGGGCCCAATTTTTTTTAAAGAATTATTTACTTATTTAGTTCCATTTGTTGTTGTTGTTGTTGTTATTATTATTATTATTATTATTTAATCTGGCCACACAGAGACAGAGAGAAAGAGAAGGGGAAAGTGAAAAAGCAAGCCGCCAGGTCCAGGACTCAAACGGCAGTCAGCCATGCTGGAATCCAATGCCTTTAACCACCATACCACCTACCAGCCCTCACCCCAATATTTTTTTAAGAATTATTTATTGAATTTTACTTATTGGATCATCAGAAATGTCATGACATGTTTTTCTATGCTAAAATGCTTCATGTATGACTTTTCCAGTGATCTCATATTATTATCACTATTTTAAAAATTTTATCAGAGAGAGAAAGGAAAAGTGAGACAGACAGCAAGCTGCCAGGTTTGGAACTCAAACTGCAATCAGCCATGTGGGAGTGCAGTGCCTTAGCCACCATGCCACCTGCCGGCTCTGGGCCCAAGTTTTTGAAATAGAGATTATCTAAATAAACTATTAAGGTTTTTTGCCTTTTCTAAATCAAGCCAATGTACTTACACACAACTGACTTTGTTAATGATTAAAGAAGTCAGTTTTTTACCTAGAGGGTAAAGGTAAGGACATTGCTGAAAAATACAACATAATCATAACAAAGAATTATAACATGCTAAATTATAACATTTCATTTTTTTTTTTTTTGGAGAGATTTTCACTGTAGGGCGCGTGCGCTTGCCAGACAGACAGAGAGAGACATAGAGACAGAAAGCGAGAAATCACCCCCCAGGGAGGATGGTCACGCCGCAATCCCTTCTCCTCCATTCTCCTCTCGGGATCTTGGGCACGCACGCACACGCGCCCGGCGTGAGTTTTAAGCCACCGGGTCCGGGACACGAACCGCGGTCAACTACGTGGGAGTCCAGCGACATAGCCATTATGCTAACTGCTGGTTCCCATAACATTTCATTTTATGTGAAGTTTTTTTTAAAATTTTATTTATTTGTTATTATTATTTAAGTTTGCGATAGGGCATGTATGCTCACCAGAGAGAGAAAGTGAGAAAGCAAGCCACCAGGTCTGGGACTCAAACTGTGGTAGTCCCTATGGAAGTCCAGCACCTTAACCACTATGCCACCTGCTGGTCTCTTAGTGAAGTTTTAAGCAAAAGAATTGAACAACAAAAATGGCAGCTTTAAAAACAGACTAGTTTGAGCCACCCAGGTGGCATGGTAGTTAAGGTGGCTGGATTCCACATAGTCAACTGCAGTTCAAATCCCGGACCTGGCAACTTAAAAAATATACTAGGCTTATGTGTGCACATGCCCAAAATCTTAAGAGGAGAATGATGGAGAAGGAATTGCAGCATGGCCACCCCCTTGGGGGTGCCTTCTCTTTCTCTCTCTTTCCCTCCCTGGCAAGTACAGGTACCTGATACCAAAAAAAAGCAAACTCATTCTACAAAATTCATGTTTTGCTGTTTGGAATGTTTGCTGTATTTGTGCCAAAATGAAAACAAAAAATGTCCACATTACACTATTCCTTCTATCCTAATGTTTTAGACATCTTAGGACAAATATTTTGGCATTCAAACATGATTTATCTATAAGTATGATTTGAAAGATGGAGATTAAAAAAAAAAACAACAACAACTTTTTGTTAAGTTAAAACTAAAAAGTCAGACCTGAACCATAGGGTTTCTTTTTCCTTCCTCTCTAGTTCAGATGAAGTTGGTCCCAAATGTTCTTTTCCTACCTTGTCAGCTGCCAGCCACTAACCCAAATTAATTTCCCAGCAACACTTTGATTCTAGAGAATTGTGGGAAACGACCATTCCAGAGGCAGTCTTGGCCCTCTCTCCTAAATTCCACCAAGACTGACAGATTGGGCCAGTCTTCAAATTTGACAGCCTTTCAATGTGACAGACTTTCATTCAGGGATTTTTAGTAATTCGAGCTCTCTTTCACTATACTCATTTCACTGCATTTCTGTAGTCATTGTATACCCAGGGCCTAGTCCTGTGCCTGGCCTGAGGCAGACAGGCACTATACTTACAGATTTTGGAGTCAGACAGACCTGGAATTACCTATATATGGTCTCATACTAACTTTGATCTCCCTCTAAAGCTCACTTTCTTCTTCTGTAAAATAGGAACAATAAAAATGCCCTGTCTCACTGGGTTGTTGGGAAAACTAAATAAAATATCTAGTGTACTTATCACTGTACCTGGCTGAGAGTAGACACTCAAAAAATAATAGCTATATTCATAATTAGTAACATTATCAGTATTACTTCCTCTGTACAAGTTTTGCTGAAAGAATGACTTTTTCTCAACCAGCTGCTCAGTCTTAGTGTAGAGCCAGTTAAGAAGCCAGCCAGGGCCAGCCCCATTGCCTAGTGGTTAGGGAGGCAGATCCCACATGCCTGACCATGGTTCAAATCTCAGCCCCAGTGGCTTGAAAAAGATGCCAGGCACTTATGTGCGCATGCAGAAGTTCTGACAGGATGGAGAAATGGAGAAGATATTGTGACATGACCATGCCCCATTTCAGGGAACTTTCTCCCTCTCATTTTCTCTTTGTCTCTGTGTTTTGGTAAGTATATATGCCCTCTGAAAACTTAAAAAGAAAGAAAAAGAAAGCAGAAGCAGCAATGTAAAGTACATCTGTAATTTGATATTCCCGGTTGGATACAAGTGTGATTAACTAGCTTACTGTGATAATAGCCAGGAAGAGAAGAGCAGCCTAGAAGAGGATAAATACCCTGTGTGCTCCAATCCCAGGACACATAGTCTAGAACACGTAGATTTTCAGCAAGACCACCTTTCTCTATATCCAAAGTAGAGATCTTGACATTGCTGACCTCATCAGGGCACATTAAGAATAACTTTCTGGCATCTTTCAAGATCCATGTACCCTGGGAAGTGAAGAGAGTCACTTCAGAGGCCTCTAGTCTAGAAATCCAACAGTTTCTCCCATTTGTGAGGTCAGGGTATATTCAACCAGGGTGAGAATTTACACCAGTGGGTTTTGCCAGAGTGTCAGAAATGTTTGTAATCCTAGAATGAGAAAGGAAAATCATGATCATGCCCTCAAATTTTTATGGCCAGTATCCATTAATGAATATCTCCATTGTGTTAACAGCGAGTGTTTCTTCTCAACCAACCTCTGAAGAATGCATATAACAGAGTCTCCTTAACCGATTTCCTTCCCCCAACAAAGTTGCCTTCTGCTTAGAACTTCTGCATCCTTGGCAAAGGATGTAGAAAGCTTTTATGAATAATTCTTTCCCAAGAAAATAGTTGTTATACCTGTTTCTTTGGAAAAGGATCCCATCCCAGTATCCCAAGTGCCAGACTGAGAGTTGCATATTATAGCACACTTGAGCTTTCATCTAATTTCTGCTAGTATCCAGGTTTTGCAGTACTTAGTAGCAGACATTTATTAACAGTGTGCTCTGAACCAAGCCCTTGGCTAATGGCTTCATAAATGTTATTGTGTTTATTCCCCATAACAACTCAATATTAAGATATTTTAATATACCTGTTTTTGTGGACAAGAAAACTGAGACCCAGCGATGTTATATAATTTACCCAAAGTCAAGGTTGGGATTCAAAATCTGGCAGTTTTTTTCCCCAGACTCTATCATTAGCCAATAGGTTCTGCAGCATATGCTCTCATTGGACTATACGTCCTCAAATCCACTCTCCTCCATTGTTGCTTTACTCTGTCTCAGGGAGGTATATTTCCCAGGCTCCCTTGCTTTCTGACTTCTAGGCAAGTTTAGCGAATGGGAGGAATTATTAGAAGACTGAAAGCAGTAGAAAGAGAAAAAAAAAAAAAAAGGATTTCTACTCTCTCCTACTCTTTCTGCTTTAGGTGCTATCTCTTCATGGCTCCATCTCCTTCCCTCAACAGTCCCAGTTCCCATTGGGTAACTTTTGGCTGGTCCTCACTCCTGGACTGCTTTACTGTAACTCCCCTTATTTCTCCAGTCCAATGATGAGTGGTGGTTTTCTGCTGTTGCTAATCCCTGAGGTGCCTCATCACCCTGATTGGCGTGTCTACCCTCTAATACCTATAAATATAGGTGTATACACCTATAATAAATACATGTGAAGGGGAGATACTTCAGCTCCAGGGCCAGCAGATGGTGTAATGGTTACATTGCTGGACTCCCACATAGTCGTATGCAGTTCAAGTCTCAGACCCTATGGCTTAAATTCACGCCAGGCGCATGTGAGTGCATGCCCAAAATCCTGAGAGGAGAATGGAAGAGAAGGGATTCCGACATAGCCAACCTGTCTTGGGGGGGGGGGTGATTTCTTGCTTTCTGTCTCTTTATTTCTCTCTGCCTCTCTGGTGATTACACATGCCCTATAGTAAAAATATCTCAAAATTAAAAAAAAAAAATCTCAGTCCCTTAGTTTACCAGTTCTGTAATCCTTGGGTGAATTATTTGACATGCCTGCACCTCAGCTACTTCTTTTCTTAAATGAGGGTCTTAATACCTTATGAACATTAAACCAGATCCTGTAAGAAAACACAATTAAGAAAAGCTCTCTACTGTCATAGGTGCTATTAGTTGTGTCCTGATTAGTTAACATTTTTTCTTATCTACTTACTCAGCCCCCCCCCCTTGTGCAGTGTAAGAACTATATAAGACTCTGAAATGCAGGTGTCATTAAATGATAACCATTTTCTTAAAAGTTAGGAACTTTAGTGTTAGCTTTCTAACCCCTGCTTGAGAAGCAAAAGATAGTTATAGACCATCTATATTAAAAAGCTATGTCAGGGGACCAGCAGTTAGTATAATGGCTATGTCGCTGAACTCCCATGTAGTCGACCACGGTTCGCATCCTGGACCCCGGTGGCTTAACACTCAAACTGGGCACGTGTGCGTGCATGCCCAAGATCCCAAGAGGAAAATGGAGAAGGAATTGCAGCATGGCCATACCCCCCGGGGGGTGATTTCTCACTTTCTTTCTCTCTCTCTCTGGTAAGTGCCTGAGCCCTATAGCAAAAACCTCTCCAAAAAAAAAAAAAAAAAATGAAGGATTGTTCAAATATTAAGGAAAGATAAACAAAAGAAAGGATAGCTGGGTTTTGTTTTGTTTGTTTGTTTTTTACCATAAACAAATCCTGTTTTGCATCTTTGAATCCATTTATACTTTCCCATCTGGTCTCCTCCTTCCTATGGGCATTAAGCAGGTATTAGAGAACAATCCCTTTTGGCCAGCCCATGGCATGGTGGTTTAGGTGACTGGATTCTACATGACCAACTGCATGATTTGAATTACAGACCCAGCAGCATAAAAAACACATGGGGCACTTGTGCAAGTGTGCACAACATCCCAAAAGAAGAGTGGAGAAAAGATTGTCCCATTGCCATCCCCCTTGGGAGATGATTTCTCACCCTCCCCCCTCCCCAACCCTCATCTCTCTCTGGCATCTGTACATACCCTATAGCAAACTTAAAAAAGGAAAGAAAAAATTGGCCCCTTCCAAACGAATAATCTTTGCCTTTCTTATTTGCTCTGTCTGTCCTATAGAAAACAAAAAAAAAAAAAAAGAAAAACAAAAAACAAAAAACAGAATTAACTAGGTGTTATTGCAAAAGAAACCTATCAGAATCTGCCAGTTTTCCATTTTTGTTTTGGAAAATCCCCTTCATTTAAGGGACTTGTCCATAGCAATACCTCTACTAAAGCTTTGATTTTTATCTGAAGTGGTCAGATATGGAGAAATATGTGAAATCAGAATACTTTTTCTTTTTTTTTTTTTTTGGAGAGGTTTTTGCTATAGGGTATGTGCACTCACCAGACAGACAGAGAGAGACAGAGAGACAGAAAGCGAGAAATCACCACCCAGGAGGGATGGCCATGCCGCAATCCCTTCTCCTCCATTCTCCTCTCGGGATCTTGGGCACGCATGCACACGCACCCAGCATAAGTTTAAGCCACCAGGTCTGGGACGTGAACTGCGGTCGACTACATGGGAGTTCAGCCACATAGCCAGTACGCTAACTGCTGGTCCCCAGAATACTTTCTCTAATCTTTATGTAGTTGCATAAAGTCAATGTTACCAAATTGCTCTGAAAGCATTAATATTCAGCCTGAACGAAAGCTTGATGAACTTCCTTTGTAACACTCTACAACTCTGAGACTGTGTTTTTTTTGAGATTGGTATTTCTCTTTTTTTTTGGAGAGGTTTTCGCTATAGGGCGCATGCGCTCGCCAGAAAGACAGAGAGAGAGAGACAAAGACAGAGAGAGAGACATAGAGACAGAAAGCGAGAAATCACCCCCCCCAAGGGGGATGGTCACGCCACAATCCCTTTTCCTCCATTCTCTTCTCAGGATCTTGGGCACGCATGCACACGCGCCTGGTGTGAGTTTTAAGCCACCGGGTCTGGGACGTGAACCATGGTCGACTACGTGGGAGTCCAGCGACATAGCCATTATGCTAACTGCTGGTTCCCGAGATTGGTATTTCTTGATGTAGACATTTACTTTCTTAGTGCTAGTGATCTCTTGAGATTATTTTCTAGTCTGTTTTCTTCCAGTTTTAAGTGATGTATTTTAGTCATTCTAATGTGGCCATCAGAGTATAATTTGAGAACCCAGTTCTATTGATAAATATCTGAAGGACGGGGGAAAAAAGTCACACCAACTGGGTTTTTTGCTTCCTTTCATTCTTTCCTTGCCAATAATCTTAAGTGTGTTTGCAATGGAGGAATCTTAGAAATGTTGTCCTAGTATATAACATGAAACTAAAGCAAAATAGATTAAGGCAGGGAAATAATAAACTTAGCAAGATAATTATTTTTTCTCCCTAAAATATTTCTTCAAACAAAACACAAGCTTTACCGATTTTAAAATCTGAGATTTTCTCATATTTTTACATTTGATTGTTTTCTTCAAAGTTTATTTAATTTCTTCCTTGAGTGAGACAAACAGAATATGTACATAAGAAAGAGAGCATGTGTACCCCCAGTAGGAGCTTCATTCTACAATCCACCCTCAGAGTCAGCCAACCCCATTTCATGGGCACACTCATGCCTGCAATGCTCAGGGAGTCTTGGATGTAAACCTTCTCATGTGGATCAGTCTTGTAGTGTGTCACATTTTACCAATATACTATTGTCTAGCCCCTGATGATTCTTATAATTAAGAATGTTGGACCATAGTGTGGTGGTTAAGGCCACTAGATCCCACATAGCCAACCACACGGTTCGTGTCCAGGACCTGGTACTTGAGAAACATAAAAGGCATATGTGCACGTATGCCCAAAGTCCCTTAAAAGAGAGAGAAATAGGGACCAGCAGATGGTGTAATGGCTATGTCATTGTACTCCCATTTAGTCGACCGTGGTTCAAGTCCCAGACCCGGTGGCTTAAATTCACACCTGGCTCATGTGCATGCATGCCCAAGATCCTGAGAGGAACATAGAGAAGGGATTGCAGCGTGGCCATCCCCCTTGGGGGTGATTTCTTGCTTTCTGTCTCTCTGTCTCTCTCTTTCTGCGAGCGCACATGCCCTATAGCAAAAACCCCTCCACCCCCAGAAAAAGAGGGAGAAATGGAGAAGAAGGGATTGCAACATGACCATCCCCCCCATGGGGGTGCTTTCTCACTTTCCTTCTCTCTCTCGCTCTTTCTCTCTCTCTCTCTCTCTGTCTGCCTGTTTCTGTCTCCCTAGTGATCACATATACCCTCTGGCAATTTTTTTTTTAACTTTTTAAACTAATTGTACAAAGAGAATTTTTTTTTAATTCTTGTCATATATATTAGTCTTTCTCACTCTGTTGTACTACATAAGTCATGTTTCTTTCTTACAGGATCGTTTAAGAAAAGACAGTAAAAAAGGCCTATGAACTTTATAAAAGAAGATCACAATACCCCGTGTCAAGATGACAAATTTGTTATTGTGTTAGCCTTTAGAAAATTTAAAATTCAGTTCAGAAAAATAGATTGACTGGCTAAGAATTTTATTTTAATGCCACACATAGGTTGTATCTTAATGGCATTATTAAAATATTTGATGATGTTTCAGATATATTGTAAAGTCTGTATTCCAGCTCTTACAAAAAATATAAGCATGTTAAATACCGTATTTACACACTGGTAACAACACTGGTGTGTGGTGACTATTTTCTAACAAAGGAGAAATTTATTAGCCAGTTACTTTGGAAGTTAGATTTTTCAGATTGCATGAAACCATTAATAGCCTTGAAAGCTTTGATGATTTTTCAGTAATAATAATAATAATCTATTTAATGGGATGATGATATATTTGAATATCAGTATAGTATTTGTTCATGGGGCAATTAAATAGGGATAAATGATTAGAACTAACTACTGTATTTATAAGAAATAGCCAGAAAGAACAAAGAATGAAAACAACGACCTTGGTTTTTACTTTAATAAGATAGCTATATTGTTAATTATATTTTTGTTACTGTGCTTCTGCACCTGTTGAACTGGTTTTTTGTTGACAGTTATATTAATAACAGTGAGCATTCTACCTTTTCAAGTTCATCTAGGAATGAGTTTACATTGATGTGCATACTGCCATAGCACTGAAATGAACTTATTTTATAATAATGTGGAATTCTTAAAAAGTTAATGTATAACATATCCAAAAAACAGTGTTTCTCTTGGTTGTGAGAATTATTGATTATACAGATATTACCTCAAATACACATACCTGGTGTCACAGTTTCTTGGAGATGTTTCTATGTTTTTAAAGCTAAATATTAAGTGCATTTTTCCATTCAAATACTCCTGTAGACTTTTCTGTAGAGGATAGTAGTGACTATAATATTAATATGACTTAGGTTGTTCCAATGTTTAGACATGAAAATGTTCTTCCTTGTCTTATAAAGACCTAATTATAAAAGAAAGTGGAGGATCAGCTGGTGATCTTGTGGTTCAGGTGACTAGATCTCACATGGCTGACTTTACAGTTTGAATCCTGGACCATGAGGCTTAAAAACCACTCCAAATGCCTGTGTGTGCATGCCCAAGATCCTCAGAGGAGAGTGGAGGAAAAAGGATTGCAGCATGGCCATCCCCTCTGGGGAGTGATTTCTCACTTTCCTTCTCTCTCCCTCTCTTTTTCTCCAGCAAGTAGATGCATTCCATAGCAAAAACTAAAAAAAAAAAAAAAAAAAAAAAAAAAAATTTAAATAATAAAGTTTGAAATAATTACTGGCAGTTTTACTTCTCTGGTCTTTATTTCATTCTCTGTGTATTATAATTTTACCACCAACTTTATGCATGTTTAATATTTCTCATTGTAAAGTAGATTAAATGAGCAAATTCTTTTTTTTAAATTTTGTATCATCATAATCTTCTTTATATTACATTGGATTACATATAACTTTACAGTGTATTACATTGCTTTTTCAAAAGGGATTGCCATGCATGTCAGTCAGTACAGAGACATTAATCTCCCCGCTTCAACATTTGATATCTTTTCTATGTTTTCCCCAATCATTATTATTATTATTATAATTATTTTTTAAAACAGTCAATCGCTATTTCTCATTTTGCTTGTAAAAATACTTTGCCCATCATGAAATACTTCTCAGACCAATCCAGTTGAGAATACTATACACGTCATCATCAACAGTTAATAAGCCCTATCTGTTTCTCACTAACGTCCTGCCTCTCTATTGTTCACTTGCTATCTTTCTCTATCCTCTTCTCTTCACCTCCCCCATTCCACACTGTCCTATTCTCATTAAGTACCTTCACTGCTTTTATGTAAATGAGCAAATTCTTTAAAAAAATTTTTATTCCAGGGACCGGCAGGTGGTATGGTGGTTAAAGCACTAGATTCCTACATGGGCAACTACAGTTCAAGTCCTGGACCTGACAGCTTGAAAATCATGCCAGGCACATGTACATATGTGCCCAAAATCCCAAGAGGAGAATGGAGAAGAAGGGATTGTGATGTGGGTATCCCTCCTGGAGCTTGATTTCTCACTTTCCCTCTCTCTGTCTCTCTGTCTCTCTCTGGCAAGTGCACACACCCTATGACAAAAAACTAAAAAAAAAAAGAATTATTCCAGATATAAATCATGAATTACTGCTAGAAAACAGACATGAAAGAGACATTTAACATGAGTAAGAAATGAGAGACCATATGGGCTGACAACACCATAAATAACAAGGAAAGGGAGTGCTGAAATAAGAACTAAACAAATGACGGCTCAATACATTGACTTAGAAATATTAAAACGAGAGCTACATTGGGAAGATACATGGTGTTGTGTGTTTGGGATCCTGGCCTACAATACAGAAGTCAAATCTAGCGTCAGAATAACATACAGAAAAGTAGAAAATAAACAACTCTATAATCGGCAAACCAAAAATCTGATCCCGCTTTCACCAGTTATTTATCCACAGTGACTCTCAGAGTTGTTCAGATTATGTAGGAAGAGGGAGATCTTGAGTGTTCTTTGAAGCAACAACAAAAATTTTGACATTTACATTTAGGGCCAGCCCCGTGGCCTAAGGGAGCTGGATCCCCACATGACTAACCACAGTGCAAATCCCAGCCCCATGTGCATGTGTGCTCAGAATTCTGGCAGGATGGAGAAATGGAAAAGAAACTGTGGCATGACCATGCCCCATTGGGGGGTGCTTTTCTCTGTATCTTTCTCTGTATCTCTCTCTCATGTGTGTCTCTTGCTGGTGAGCACATCTACCATCTGGCAGATTTTTTTTTTACGTTTATATTTAATGGATCTTAGACCTCAACCCTCTAAATTTTATAGATCTGTAACCTGAGGCCTCAAGTGTTTGAACAATCTTCCTGAGAGAACGTGGATAGTTAGATTCAGGGCCGGGACCGAAGCCTAGAATTCAGTTGTCCTGGTTTCCCAGATTCGACACTAGTCTTCATGCACAGACTAGCTACAATTTGCCAAACAGGAAATACCGCCATACTTCATGTACAGACTAGCTATAATTTGCCAAACAGGAAACACTGCCTGCACAGACTAGCTATAATTTGCCAAACAGGAAATATGGCCAGGGTTTGAACCAGAGTTTGGCTCTGGAGTCTGTGTGCTTTACTGCTTTATCAGAATATCTCCTTACCAATGGCACTGTTTAGCAAGTCCTATTATATAAGCAAATATTTATTCCATAAATTTAGTTATGATGCACATTAAATTATTTTCCTTCCCAGTGTCAGTAACGACAACTTTGTGTCTTAGGCCATATTACAGATTCAAACACAGGAGTGTTACTCTTGCCTTTTGCCATCAGAACTAGTTTTGTCAGGCTTTCTCTCTACCTGCCAATCTGCTTTCATGTTCTGGCCTCTAGGAAAGAGCACTTAAGGAGTTCTAGCAGGGTCTGGATGGGCGCAGTGGTAGCACAACTGGGCCCACATAGAAAAGGTCTTGAGTTTGTGTACCAGGACCTCCCTGAGCCTGCCAGCTGTGGACATGCATGCCCATGATCCAGGCTGGCTGAGCCTATAGGTGGATCCAGCATAAGGATCTTGGTAGTGGTGGAGTATGTATGTGTAATGGAAGAAATACAAACTTTGAAAGAAAAATCTAGTTAAGTACTCAATTTTGCGTGAGTCATCCTGATGGCTTGTCCAGCTCTATCTTGGATTACAGCACTGATAACTGGATTCCGGCTTTGTTCTTAGGGCCTACGTTCTTTTTTTGGCTGTACTAGTACTTTGGGGACTCATGCTCTCTTCCAACGACAGGGTCGTGCCCTTGAGCCCCATTCTAGAGCCTGAAGTTTAACTACTTCATAAGATACTGTCCTGATGTCCACCAGCCTGCCTGCATCTCCAAATATTACCCATTTCTAATGTTGGTGCTGGTCTCTGTTTTCCTACATTGTCACTCAGCCTTCCAGCCACAGCCACCTGGATGCACCCACACCTGTTGTCTTGCCGTATCTTCAGGTTGGTCTACAGTTCCATTCCCATGTCTGTACCTCCCCGCCATCCCTGCAATCTGTCTACTGCCACAGCTGAATAACCCATGCCTGGCCCTGCTGACCGACTCACTGCACATGGGAGTGCCCATCCTCCAATATGTGATTGTAAGAGTCCTTTTAACACTGGCTTTAACATCTGGAATGCTGTGTCTAAAGTCCATGAGCCCTCCAGTTGGTTTTTTGGGTTTGTTTTTTTTATTTTTATTTTTTATTCCTTAGCATGGCCTTTTAAAAATCTTGAAAATTCATTTATGAAAATTTTCTGTTTTCTTTTAGAAGCATTTATTTCTTAATTGACTAAATGGCATTATTCCCTTCACAGTGGTGTTTTCCACCTTTATCTCTAAACAGACATAGAACTATTTACCCCCTCTTCTACAGCCAAAGTAACTTCAAACACTTCACCAACTGTAGTAGACTGAATGACGGCTTCACAAAAGACATGGAATTCCACATCCCTGGGACATTATTTTCTATGACAAAAGATGTGATTAAGGGGATCAGCAATTGGCCTAGTGGTTATTTCACTGGACTCCCACATGGCACACCACGGTTCGAGTCCTGGACCTGATGGCTTCAAAATCATGCCAGGCATGTGTGAGTACATGTCCAACATCGTGGGAGGAGAAGAGAATGAAGCATGGCCATCCCCCTGGAAGGGGGGATTTCTCATTTTCCCTTTCACTGTCTGTCTATCTCTGGAAGTACACATGCCTAAGGCAAAAACTTCTTAAAAAAAAAAAAAAAAAAGGTGATTAAGTAGAAGAGCTTCAGATGGAGAGATTTTCCTGGTAATATGGCTGAGGCTTAAATGCAGTCAAAGCTATCCGCAGGCAGAGAGACTACCACACAGAAGAGGAGGTGGCCATGTGATCACAGAGACAGTGACTGCGTGAGGCAGCACTTGAGAAGGAATGCTGGCCACCATAAAGTGCTGGAAAGGCAAGGAACAGATTCTCTATCAGAGCCTCCCCCGCCCTGTGGAAACACAGCCCTGCAGGTGCCAGCAAAACTGATAATAGTTACGGCCTCCAGAACTGTAAGAACAAATTTGTTGTCCAAAGACATCAATAATGTGTAATTCATTAATGTGGCCGAAGGAAACAGAAGAACATACAAATCTGTAATAGTCTGGACTGAATTTCAAGATGCCCTTTAACACCACTTGGTCTTCCCCGTTATCCATCGGAATACATCCAAGAAGGTCTTAGCCATCTCCTCTCTTAGCTATTTTTCTCTATCTTTATTTGTCCATTCCTACTGCCAGCCTCCAAATTGTCATCATGTCTCATTTCAACTACCATGACAAGCCCCTACTGGTTTCCCTGCATCTTAACAATTCATACATACAGGCCAGCAGATGGCATAGTGGTTATGTCACTGGACTCCCACATGGCCCACTGCAGTTTGTGTCCCAGACCCAGTGACTTAAAAACTCACGCTGGGCATGTGTGCATGCATGCCCAGGATCCTGGGAGGAGAATGGAGGAGAAGGAACTGCAGTATGACCTTCGCCCGGGGGGGGGGGGGGATTCTCTGTTGCC